CTCACATAGACGGATTCTCCCTCCAACCACTGAAGGCAGTGTGCCATCAGTGAAAGAGGAAGTGAGAAGGCAGCGAGAAGGGTGTGGGTCAAGCAGGGTTTATGAAGCAGTAGCCAGGTGGAGAGGGCTCCTGGGGTCCCGACCGTGGGTGTCATGCCAGGATCCTCACAGGTAGTAACTGTTGCTATTATTATCAGTCATTTTTGTGGCCGTTGCTTATTTCCCCTCACCTGCTTCCGGCATGTTTCTCTGTCAGAAACTGAGTTGATGCTAAAGGTGTGGGTCGGAGGCAGGCTGCGTGACCCCAGCTACCACAGAAGCAATCCAAGAGTGTCAGCCATGACCACAGCCCACAGGAAGCTGTGAACTAGATAAAGGGTCATGTCTGCACACTAACCCTGGCTATGTCCGGTCTCCTCACATGAAGGGCTTTTAGCTCAGTTCTCTGCCTCGTTCAAGACAGAGGGACTCCCGAGAGGCCCGTGAGCAGCGGGACACACTGAAGCAGTAAGTTGGACTCCGTATGGAGGCGTACACCCAGAATCCCAATACTTGGGAAGCTGAGGAAGGGGAACTGTGACTTCAAGGCCTCCTGGGCTGCATTAGTAAAACTCTGTCTCAAAAGAATGACAACCAACAATAACAATAATAATTTGTTAAACTAGGCATGACGCAGCACCCTTCTGATCCCAGCACTCAGGAAGCTAAGGCTAGAGGTTTATGAGTTCAAGACAGCCTGCGCCACACAGGAAAATAGATATTAAAGTAAAATGAACCAATAATCGTTCTGAAATGAAGGAGCCGAGCATGAACACGCCTGTGGCTCAGAAACTGCTAAGTGGCCACGCATGTGTGCACACATGTACCTATATGCCTTTCAATCCACCTGCACACCCACTCATCCGCTCATTGGCCATTCACCCATCCACCCACCCACACACCTCTTCCATTCCTTAGCGGATGCATTTTATTGAGCACCTGTTATGTTCTCTGGGTGCTATGGGGCTTTTTTTTTTTTTTTTTTTTGTGGATTCCACGGTCTTTTAGGTGTGACACAGCATACAGTGCAATGTGAAGGCAGGCATAATAGTGACCTCTGAACACACAATAGGTTGTCGGTGAAAGACCAGCTGTGATCAAGAAGACTAGAGTGGCAGGAAGAGGGAGAGGTGGACACAGATGCTTTGAACGGGGGGCGGGAGGGGCAGCCCTGGGTGTTGGTAAAATGAAAGTCCAGCGGGGAGAGGTGGCAGCTGTAGAGAAGGCTGAGGCTGGGAAGTAGAGGGGAGGTGACTGTACTGAGGGTATTGGGGAGCGGGGAGTAGCCTTCCTTCCATGATGTGGGAAAAGGTTGCTGGGTGTTAAAATTGAGGGCCCACTAGACAAAGCCATGACATTTCCGAGCTACCCTTTCGCTCCTGCTGGGTGACAAGTATCACAAACCATTGAAGGTGATGAAGCGCTTCCAGCCCAGCTACCTGCTCTGTGACCTAGGGCATCCTACTTCTACCTCAAACCTTAGGATCCAAGCCTAGGAAGAGTCTAGGATAGGAACAGGGACATCTCATACCTTTCAGGATCAACGACCCAGAGTCCCACCGGTCCAGCTCCTTCTGGTCAAAGTAGAGAGGGGTCCCCATGCCTCTAGCAGCTAGGGTCTAGCTGGTTTTCCCTCAAGTACTCCCTTGAAGCAGGAGTTCAGAGGCGGGGGTAGGAGACGGAGCCAGAGTCTGGGCTAGGTCGCGAGTCTGGCTGCCTTTAGTTGGAGGGATCTGGCCCTGCCATGGCCAAAGATTCTAGAGCATTCCATTTGGAAGGTCCCCAGGGAATCCACTTCATTGCTGGGATAATGGACTAGGTATGGTGTGTTTAATCCCTGGTGAGGAAAGTCCCTCACAAATGTCCCTTCAAGATGCTTCCCCATTAGCTCTGGACTGTAGCCTGGCCCTATTTTCACCTCTTCCTCCCTGTCCCGCCTTCATCATCCGAGGAGTGTCAGGCTGGACAGTTCTGGCTTGGTGATTGGGTTGTGCATGTGCTCCCTTCTCTACCTCCGTCTATTCCATGCCCTGGGTGTGAATGTCCCTTCCCGCTGCTCTGGGTAGGTAGGAATTCTACCTGCAGAGACCTGTGAGTTGTCACCTCCTTTTACACAGCCTATCTCATCTGTAGCTCCCTCCCCACTTCCTAGGGGATCTCCCCAAAAGCAGAGGATGTGTGAGCTGCATGGACCTGAGGGCACACCTAGGCAACTGGCTCTGCTGCCCTGCCAGCCTCAAGTCAAGAGATAGCCCGTTCTGAGCCTCCTGTTCCTGCTTCCTGGCTGCTTCCCTAGAAGGACGGGGGATTTGGGTCCTTCTGGAGAAAAAAGATCTGAGTGTCCAGTCAAACAGAGCCCTTGAAACCCACGCGGGGAGTTTCCAAATCAGTTCTCAGGCTGTCCCCGGCGACACAGTTGTTCATTGCAGCACAATCACCCATTACTGTGCTCAAGCACGGAGCAGCATGTGCTGGCCTCTGCCACAAGAGGCTGGGCAGGAACCACTGGAAAGAGGGTCCCAGTGAGCAGGAGAAGGCGGGGGTGGGGCACAGTGAGGTTAAGAGACACCACAGAAGGAGCAGATCAGCAGACAGCTCCCTCCCACCTCTTCCTCAAGCACAGGGCTCCTGCCCGCAGGCTAGAGCCTCCTGCCTCCTGGTTCTCAGCCCATCCTTAACTGGGACTCGGCTAGGCATAGACACTTGTCTCTGTGGCCATAGGGTCGTCCACCCTCCCTTGCCATCCTCTCTGAAGCACTGGAAGCCTGGCCTGGGGAGCAGGGGCCCAGCCTGACGAGCTAAAGTCCAAGAGCCTACTCAGCTGTGGCTGTAGGAAGGGCAGAGAATATGGCAGCTGTGGGACTCCAAGGAAAGCACAGAATTGGTAGGATGAGGCCCATCCAGGCAGACACCATCTTTGCCAGTTCCACCATCTTAAGTAGGTTCCTGGGAACTGTCTGGACTTCCCTCTACAGGGGATGGAATTGAGGTCCAGACAGTGTTCGTAAGATGCCCTAGGTCACACAGTGAAGCAGTGGGGATCTTGCCCACAAGGAAGTTTTACCAAAGCAGGGGAAAGCCCAGGCCTCAGGACCTGCAGCAGCCAGCCTCCTGCAGGGGAAGAAGGATGCTTGGACTTTCTCCATCTCAAGAGTGTCCCAGGGGCTGATGGGCTTATCCTCTGAACACTGTTCTCAGGAGTCTGGTCTCAATAGACAATGGCTGCCATCCTTACCATCACTCCCTCTCCCCATCCCACCCCCGCCAAAGACAGGGTTTCTCTGTGTACACCTCGCTGTCCTGGAACTCACTCTGTAGACCAGTCTGTCCTCCAACTCACAGAGATCCGACAGCCTCTGCCTCCCTACCTAATGCTGGGATCACAGGCATGTGCCACCACCACTGGGCCCTTACTACCACTTCTAGTGAAAACCAGACCTGACAGCGTTGGATTGGGATGGGGGTGGATAGGGTGTTATTGCAAACTGCCTCTGGTCACTTGTGGGCAGTGAGAAGCCAGGTCCGGAACTCCAGTGTCAGAATCAGAGCCCAGGCACCTACAGGCCTCCATCCCCCTGCCTGCCAGAACGCTGCACACCTGGGGTGGGTAGTTTGAGAATGGGGGCGGGGAGAGCTTTGACCTGGGAAGGCCTTTTAGTCTGGGAGACTGAGCATATTTTCAAATCTTCAGTGATGCTGTGTTCTTGGGGCAGGGCAGAAAGCAAATGGAGATATGGGAAGGGAAAGGGTCCCCTCATCCTGGGTTTAACTTTCTCGCAGGCTGAGAGCCAAGAGTTCTAACACAAATCACTGGGTGGAGCTGGGATGTGGCTCCGTTGGTAGAGGGCCTGCTAGCACATACATGCAAAAACACCCATACACATAAATGTAATAAATATATAAAATAAATAAAAATTTAAAGAGCGAGACGAAACGAAACACCCAAACTGGGCATGCTGGCGCATGCCTCATCTGCGAGATGCCCTGGGCTACACAGCAAAGCAGTGACATTCCCTTTTATTTTGTGATAGCACCTCACTAACACCCATGAACTCTGGTAGCTGAGGCTGGCCTCGAGCTTGAGACCTCCCTGTCTCACCCTCCCCAGTAGCTGGGATGCCAGGCTTAACTAAGCCACTAGGCCTGTTCTTTTTTCTCAATAAACCCTGACTTTGATTCCTAGTGACTAGTCCTGAGATTCTTTTCTGGGCACTGGTATGACAGTCTTGGGCTATGCTGAAAGTTCCACATAGGTTTTTGAGAAGTGTGCTTGGGACCTGGAAATGCCAATCAGGCTTCCAGGGCAGCCTCTGCCATGCTGCAACTATGGAGGTGGGCATCCCTGCTTCTCACTCTATCCATTCCACTCATAGTGGAGGTGAGGGGCCCCTTTGCTGAGAACTGGGCTTTCCAACCCACTAAAGCACATATGTAGATACACAGTGATTAAAGACCCCACTGGCCTTAGCCTCCCGGGGTCAGGGCCAGCCTGGGGACGGATGAGGACAATCTCTCAGCCTCATGTGAGCCTCTGGTTTCCTCAGGGTAGAGCTAGGTCTACAGAACAGCCCTCTAGCCTGCTCAGCATCATGCAGCCCTTCTGGACCACAGAGCCCTGACTGACATAATCCCTGAGCTGTTTGGCCCTCCACTTTCCCTCCACAGGGCACCTGATATGAAGGAAGTTCACCAGCACCAGGATAGGGCATGAAATGGGTTGAGCCTGAGGCCCTGGGTCCTGTTAATAGAGGAACCAAGAAATGTTTCCCCTTGAAAAGAGAAGTATGTCATTGTCATGGCCCCAGACACACAGACTCCCACCTATGTTCTGAGTGTCCTTTCTCTGGAAAGCCACAAACATTCCCAAGCAGGACTTCTCCTGAATTATCTCAAATTCTTTGAATTTCTCTGGTCTGGAAGGATTGAAGGAGGGGACAGGAGGCGTGGAATGGCCCTCCAAAGAGGTTAAATAGGTCACTTCAACGCTGAACACCAAGACAAGCAGAGCACCCATGAAGATCTTCACCTGGGCTTCTGGCACCATGACATCACTTCAGATGCTGCTCCTCACTGCCCTGCTTCTGGGGACTTCCCTGCAGCACGCCAGTGCTGGTAAGAGCTGGGCACAGACAGGGCAGGGGTGGAGCCCCTCAGCCACACAGACCACAGCAGAAACACAAGCTGTGTGACTAGTGCCCTGTCTGTTCTTAGGGAGGTCACGAGGGCTGGCGGTAAGAGCTCTGGGTGAAGAATGATGGAGCTGGGGTGGTGGGGTGGTGTTGACGGTGTTGGACACCTGACCTGGACACCTGCCTAGTGACACCACGAGCAGCACATCTCATCCTGAGATGTTAGGACATAGTGGCCTGGACTGTGGGCTTCTGACGCAGGATGACCGGTTCTCAGAATTGCTGCCATTTGTTTCATTAATGGGCTTCATGTGTCCTCAGGGAACAGCATGAAGATGGAGAATTGGTTCCAAGAATGTATGAAAAGAGATTTTTATATTTAGTTTCGAAAGGGGAGTTGAAATAAGGTCCCTAGATACAGACAGCTGCACATGCAGACACACACAGATGAATATGCAGACATGCAGGCACAAGGAGAGCGCACACACACTCACACACACTCACAGACACTCTGCCTCCATGGTTACATACACACCAGGAACAAACAGAATTCAAAGAGAGGTACACGAAGCTATCACCCATAGGTGCACGCAGGCACACATGGGGACACTTCACAGGTCCTCAGGCATCTGTCCAGACCCTCAGGACACCTGCTTCCTATTGCTCTTCTAGCTCGAGCCACCAATGTAGGCCGAGAGTGCTGCCTGGAGTACTTCAAGGGGGCCATTCCCCTCCGGAGGCTGGTGGCGTGGTACAGGACCTCAGCTGAGTGCTCCAGGGATGCCATTGTGTGAGTTTCTCCCCGCCCCCATCCCAAACCTATACCTGGGACCCAGAGTGGTAAGTGGGAAGGACTTGGAGTCCCCAGGCAGGCGGCTGGGAAAGAGGGAAGAACACAGCTTCTTCCCCTGGGCCAGCTCACAGATGACAGGGGTTCATCCTCTTCATTTAGTTATTGTCCAAGGGAGGCCCCAAGATGGATAGGACGTTCCGGGTAGCAGAGCCAGTAGGCAGCAATGCAGTCCCCTCCCCCTCTGGGTCTGAGCTGAAGAGAGGATAACACAGCCCAGGGCTCCTTGTGTCACTTCAGCTGGAGCTGCCCTGAGGGACCAGGCATAAAGTCCTGCAGCCCGGCCCTAGGGAAGCTGGGATGGAGTCAGAACCCCAGCAGGGAAGAATCACTAGTGACGTGTGACTTCATCCAGTTCTTGCCTAGGGACCTCAGCGTCCAGGTCAATGCAGGGGTGGCTGGCTGCGGAGCTCTGCAAGGCCTTGCTGTCCTCATACCCATTGCTTTCTCCTGTGTAGGTTTGTAACAGTCCAGGACAGGCTCATATGTTCAGACCCCAAAGACAAGCATGTGAAGAAGGCCATCAGGTACTTGAGGAGCCTAAGGCAGTAGCCTGTCATCAACCTCTCAGCCTGGAGCATTTGAGGACTTCAGTATTGGTGCCCATGATCCCAACCTGTGTCTGGTGGAGGCCTGGAGAGCCCAAGAGAAGCCGCAGAGTGGGAGTCCCTGTCCCCCCTTTTATGGACTCAAGCTACAGGTGCACGCGTGCACGCAAACACTGATTAAAGCTCTTCTCCTTCAGTCTGGGTCAGTGTGTTCTGTCCCCACAGTGCAGAGCTCCTTCCGCTTTGGCCAGTCACACTGGACAGCTGGTCCTACTCTGCCCAGGTCCTGCTTGCCAGGGCTAACTGAGGCTGAGAGGGAGACACGGCCCCATACAAGTGACAGGTGGAACCTGGGAGACATGGGGGAAGGACAGGGCAGAGGTGGGCAAGGATCACAGGAGGATCTTCACCAGTGCCCTTCCTCCCTCTGTACTCGGGGAAAGTGTCTGAAGGAGTCCCAAGGAGGGCCTGTCTTCTCTACACCCCAAGTCTCCCAGTCACCCCAAGACCAGCCCCTATCATTGCCCCACATGAAGTCGAGGTCATCCTTCCTGCATCGGACTCCACCGCAGATATGTTCAGACCCTTCTGCATTTGTCCCTCTTCCTGTAGGCCCTGTCTCGCCTCCATTTCCGAGTCCCCTCACTGCAGCCTGTCTGGCTCTGGGAAACTGTCAACCACCCCCTTCCCATGCTTTGGCTGCCTCTCCATAGGCAGCTTAGCTAAGCTGGCTTTATGGAGACCCGGTCTCTCTGGCTGTTCAGAAGAGCCATCACCTAAGCCTCCCTGGCCTCCTTCTGCCCCCAGGCTCCAGCTGGTCCCTGACCCACAATTCCTCCTCAGTCACCTCTGTACATGTCCTTTGCTGCCAACCTCACAGGCCTTGGTCTCCTCCCAATAGGGGCTGCCTGGCCACAGGCCTCTGGTGTTGTTGGTTCACCAAAGCACACCTGTGTGTGCTTGTAGGCCTGGCTCTACCATGCCACTGGGGCTCTGTGGGCACTCTGGGACCACCGTGAGCCACAGAAGGATCGGCACAAGGTCTATGAGGCCCCTCTCTCCAAGCCTCGCTCAGAGCTGGAGCCACAGCTGAAGGCTGTGGGGAGTTAGGGTCTTGGTATTGCACGTCATCTTTGCCCACCCAGCATGCCTCTTTTTCCAGCTCAGGCTGCAGCACAGGCAAAGGTCTGCCTCTTCCCAGCGCTCTGTCAGGCTGGAGGTAGTCTGCGCTGCAGTATTTTTCCTGGGGAAGATTTTTATCCCGTTGCTGCCACCTTGTGGCCAGTTTTTGCCTTGCAGAACAAATGTCAAGTGTCTTGGTAGGGGTGGAAATAAGACCAACACATTAACAAACAGAAGGCTGGTGGCCCTCAACTGGCGTCTCTGTGAACCCAGGATTCCTTCTACCGCAGGAGGATTCTCTTCCCTGAGGCCCAAGGGCGTCACTCCAACAGCTGCTTAAGATTCTGAGTCCTGAGGCAGCTTTGGCTGAGTCTTTGTGAAGGAAAAAGCCTCCTATCGATCGCAGGGCCTAGAGAAAGAATGATTAGTGAGGAGGGAGAGGGGAGCCCCTGTTGAAGGAGGAAGAGCAAGGGCTGGGGCCTGAAGGCCTGCACCTTGCATTCCAGAACCAGGGAGCCCTTGGAGTGTGCTCAGCTGTCTTAGCTGTTGAAGTCTTCCAGAGATCCCTTTGGGTAAACTCAGAGAAGCAGAGACCTAAGAGAAGTGGGAGGCTTCCTGTGGGCCCTGGAGAGTAGAAGGGTTGTTTCAAGTCCACCGGGAGAGGAAAGTGTGGGGCCACAAGTGGCAACAAAATGCAGGGTTCTGAGCCCGAGTGGTTGGGAGGAGGAGGGTGTAAGGTGAGTGTGCCAGCTCTCATTGTTAATAGAGTTCCAAGACTGATGGGGCGCACAGACTCTCTAGCCTCAGCTGTTGAAGCTACAAAAGACCATAGACAGAGGTGTCTGTAGCTGGTCGGGTGACTCTCTGGGGGATCTGAAGTCAGGAAATTATTAAATACACTACCAGAGTTATCAGATGGTGGGGGGGGATTACAAGGACTTGCAGGGCCACCAACACCAGGAGGAGCTTGGGTTGGACAAACTCCAAGACCACCGGGCAAGAAGTACCCAGACTTCCATTTCCTTCACCCGTAATTGTCTTTTTGACATTCACTTACCACAAGGGCACAAATGCCAACTGGTGTTTATCTATCTGTGATCCAACTTTTCTGACTTTTTAAAAATTATTATAAGCTGGGAGGTGGGGTTGCTCACCTTTAATCCCAGCCTTTGGAAGGCAGAGGCAGGCAGATTTCTGTAAGTTTGAGGCAGCCTGGTCTACAGAGTGAGTTCTAGGACAGCCAGGGCTACACAGAGAAACCCTGTTTCTAAAAACAAACAAATTAGAAACTAGGCATGCTGGCTCCCAACACCTGTGAGGTGGAGGCAAGAGGACCAGGACTTCAAGGTCAGCTTCTGTAACATAGAAAGTGTGAGGATAGCCTGGAGTGTATGAGAGCCTTTCTCCAAAACAAAACAGACACTACAAAGCCATAGGCATTGCAGCACACTGTAATTCCAGCTACTTGGTAGACAGAAGCAGGAGGATTACTTATACCCAAGAGCAGCCTGGGAAACATTCTGAGGACCCCTGTGTCTTACTACTTTTTTACTGCTCTGATAAAAACACAATGACTAATGAAATGTGTAAGAGCTCACATCTTTTTTGTTTGTTTTTCAAGACAGGGTTTCTCTGTGTAGCCTGGTTGTCCTGGAACTTGCTCTGTAGATCAAGCTGGCCTTGAACTCAAAGATCCGCCTGCCTCTGCCTCTCAAGAGCTAGGATTCAAAGGCACCACCAGGCTCAAATTTTTCTCAAGACCTCCGTTGGGGTTCTTAACTTTTCCACCCAAAAAACTTTCAGGACAAGTCAGTATGAAGCAGATTTGGTATTTGCTAAGAAGTGGCTTGGCGGTCAGCCCTTGGTGCTCTTCGTGGGGACCATAGTTTGATTCCCAACACCTACGTGGCCACTCATAGCTGTCTGTAACTCCAGTCCCAGGGGATAGGATGCCTTCTTCCAGCTTTCCAAAGGTGCCATCCATGCACATGGTACACAGACATATATGCAGATGAAACACCCATACAGATAAAATAAAATTTTAGAAGTAGTTTAACATAGACTTAAGCATGGGCATTAAGGAGGAAAGAAAGGCACTTGGGAATGGGCAGAAGGCATCTCAAGATGTAGTATGTGCACCTCCAGAGTTAGCAAGAGCCACGCAGGCACTGCTCTGGAGACTTCTGAAGCCAAACCCTCAAGGGGTTTCTAGGGTTCTTCCCCTCTACTTCTCTCCCTCTCTTTCTAGACTGGCTCTTACTGTGTAGCCGTGGCTGGCCTAGAACTCAGAGATCTACTTGCCTCTGCCTCTGGAGTGTTAAAGGCATGTGCCACCATGTTCATCAAGGAAAATTTTAAAATGAGATCATAGGGTGGTTTCCAGGGCACTGGAAAGGACAACTGAGGAGATAAAGCCATAGACCCCAAGGATTAAAGAAATCCTTACTATCCTAGGTAACAAGGGAGTTAAGACATGTTTCGACTACAAAACAAAACAAACCCCACAGTTGTGTTTGTGAGATTCTCAAAGAAGTTACTCCTTTGCCAGTTGTAAACCTGTTTGAGTTTAAAGGTCACACACACTCAGGCCTTCAGCACGAGTCACAGCTACTTTAACATCCTTATTTGCATTATCTCTATGTAGGCAATTTTTGTAAGCCCTGCTGAAATTCTGGATTCTCAGTTGGGCAAAGTCTTCAGCCAGACTCTGGTGAGGGGCTCCTTTTCCTTGCCACCTTCCCTCAGCGTGCTCTACCCCTCTCCTGCCTCCAGTCTGCCACTGCCTGCCTGGCTGTGGGCTCTCACACATTGGTTTCCCTTCCCTCACACTTCTCCACCAACAACCAACTTAGGCCTCCATGGATTGAGGGTGGGCTCAGTTAAGTCGCTGCTTTTCTGCCTCTCACGCAGAAACTCTGCTGTGGCCTTGAGGTCCCATTGCCATGATGTGGGCATTCCCCACCTGTATTGGTTGGGTGTTTTGTCACCTTGACACAAGCTAGAGTTATCTGAGAAAACTCAATTGAGATGCCTACAGGGAGGTTTATAGGGCATTTTGATGAACGGTTGATGTGGGAAAGTCCAGCCCACTGTGTGCAGTGCTACCCTTGGGCAGAAGGTCCTGGGTTGTAGAAGGCTGAGCAAGCCATCAGGTGTGAGGCTGTAAGCGTTCTTCTATGGCCTCTGTTTCAGTTTCTGCCTTGGTTTCTCTCCATGGTAGACTATGGTTTGAGATAGGTAGGCCAAATAAATCCTCTTTCCTCCAGGCTGTTTTTGTGTTTTTATCACAGCAACAGAAGTTCCTTTCTTCAAAGCCCACACAGTGACTGCAGGGATAAAATACGCAGGCAAGTGAAGGAACCAGAACTTTGTCAAGAAGTGAGAGCTGCTGGCATGCTGAAGCTAGGAAGACTGCACGTTTGAGGGCAGCCCAGACTACACTAAGACTTCAATGGGCTCGGTCACATGCATGTGCACACTTGTTTATCCGTCCACACTGAACCTCAGTGTGGTTTCTGGATGTCATGGCATCTGCAGAACTCATTTATGCTAGATGGCGGGCTGCAGCCCATCAGGCAGGCCACTAGAAAGAAGCACAGCAAATGAAGCCAGAAGTCCGAGGGCCAAGAGGCAGCTTCCCTCCCTGGAGTGGAGGAGAGCACCCTGCCCCCTCTCCACATGTGTCACTGTGGCGAGCCAGCAATGGCAGCAAGGAGAGGGTAAGGCTACAAGCACAAGAGACCTCTCCAGACTCAGTTACTTCATTCATTTTCAGTGTCCTGTTGGGGTTTGGGTGGTGGCGGGTTTTGAGGTGGGAGAATCTCCTCTGCAGTCCAGGCTCGCGCTGAACTCAGTCCTGCACCAGCCTCTGCCTGCCAGGGTCACACAGGTGGACACTTGGTCACGCCACTCCTTCTAGACAATGCGTAGCACATTGTGTGCAGGGTTCCAGGGACTCTAAGTGTTTTGAAACACAACAAAACAAAACAAAAAACAAACAAAAAAAAACCACTACTATTTTTACCACCTTAAAAAAAAAATCTGTAGGGGCTGGAGAAACAGCTC